AGGAGTGTTATACATGTATATATTTACATTTCCAATGTCTTTGTTCGAGATAAAATTACAAATAGTTAATGTACTCTATTTCTCCATCAATGCACTGGTTCATTTTTACGTATCATTGAGTTAATTCTTGGAATAACTGATTTAATTGTTCAAATACACGTCATAAACATTCCGTATTTTCATTGACCTACCTGAAATACTTGATTCCTGGCATAATTTATTATCCTTGGATATCGACCGTAGTTTGTCTAGATTTACACTGGGAGGATCTTCCTTTTCCAACAGTTTTAAAAAGGTCGAATATATAACTGCAAAAATTATTACTTTTATTGGATCAAAGACTATAAAGGATTCCAAAAATGAAAGAGCAAGCGATGAAAGCCATTCTTCTGAACTAGCTTTTCCCCATTCCATGCTGTAGAGAATGAGGAAAAAGACTGATAAAAGGATACCCAAAACAACACTGGACCATGCAATGTAAAACACCCAACATGGCAAAGTGCCTTGGTTTGGAGAGAAAACCTCGCCATCAAGTCTAGAAAAGGCTTTGTAATTGTCTTTTCTTAATGGAGAAAAATTGAGTTTTCTTGGATTGTTGATTCTGTTTTCGACTGATTTAGAGTTTGTAATGTTTCTAAAAACAAAGGCTGCAACAGTAACGGGTACAGTTGAGATTAGCATTCCAACGCATGATACATAGAATGTTCCAAATGAGAGTCTTAAGGTAGCTAAGGACACCTGAGCCCAAAAAAACCTGTCAGTAGATTTTGTTGAAATTTTCACAAGGTGTAAAGGGATGTCTAATGAACACTTAGTCAAAATATGAACATGGCATTGTGGGTAAATTACGGAACAAGGGGGTAATGAGTTACCTCCCCTTTCCAGTCACTCCAAAAATCATAATACAAGATAATTATTACCCATAAAAAATTTATTGTGCAATATGCATTCAATATTAAAAATTATTTTTAAACAATATTGATACTATTAACTTATTTTAACAATGGATTGTCTGAACATATATAAATTAAGAGAATAATCCATGTAGAACATTTGAAATTCGACTAATTTGGCCATTTTCATGCACACAAATTTGACACTTTTTAAATTCTAAAAAAAATCTGTCCAATAGAATTTTTATTTTTTATCATTATATGAAAGATCTGTCTAATACTATTCTTCACTCAAAAAATCTTGGTCACATTGAGGGCTAATAAAGGTACCAGATGGTCCACAACTACCCCCCCCCCCCTCTTTTGGTTTCCCGTTGTAAAGGTAAGAATAACGATTAAAGTGGCTATTCAAAAAAATGCATAGCAAATTAGGGAAAAACAACTGAAGAAATAAATAAGAAGTAAAAATCTATTGCTAATAAATGACTAAAGAAAATATTTTTATGAAATAATAGTACATGTAGAGTAATAACTTGAAGAGTTACCTCCCCTCTCCCCTCACAATAAAACATGTAATTAAACCAATATTGAAATTATCCATAAAAAGTTCCTCAACAAAATTAAAATATGAATTTATATTTCAATAATAGATACTTGAACAAAAATGTAATTAAAAAAAACACATTTAAAAATTCTTCAACATGATCCCTTTTGATTACTTTCATGCAAACAAATTCTATGTTTTTTTATACATGTAGATTTCTAAAAAAATATATTGTATGACAAAAATGTCCAATACTATTTCTCACTCAGAAATCTCGGCTGCATTAAGAGGTAATTAACTATTAAGTTACAGAATGGTCTAATACATCCCCTCCTTTTATGCATCTCATATTTTTTTCATTGCAATGTCAAAAATCCCCCTAATTATTAACATGTCAAATGCATTCTACTTTGTCCGAAAATACATTTTGGTCATACAGAATGAAGAAATCCATCTGACATAGCACTGCAAAATTCACAATTTTTTTTTTCATAGAATAATAAGAATATCATTGAAAAACTATGATCAGTACTCTTTCAAACTGATCAAAAGTCATTTTATTCCATGAGCAGGTAGGATAATAACATTTACTAGGCCATTCCAAGTCTTTTTTTCTGTTTGGCATCCAATCGCACCTTGGTTTTTGACACCTACATGTATCAGACAATCAAACAAAATCAGAACCCCTATCCTTGATTATTTTTGTTGAAATCTTTAAGTTCTGTCAATTTCTCAAATATGTACAATAAACATGTCATAGGTGGTGTACTTTAGGCATTTATTATTTTGATTTGGCTGAAGAATAGATATTTCTACCAGAAAAGCAGATTGATGAAATAAAATCCTCAGATTTACACTATTATTACAACTATAGACATGATACACGTACATTCTGTGTTTTATTTTTTGGTTCATATTTTTTTTTACAAATAGGTACATGTAGGTAGGTTTTTGATTGAAGGTTGGACGCTAAACAGAGAAAAAAAACTTAAAATGGGCTTAGTCTAAAACCGTCCTTGACCTGAGACATAAAATTACATAAACTATACCTAAAAATTAAAAACAAAATGACAATACTGCACTGGGACATAACACTTGATGCAGGACATTTTATATAAAAAGTTAAAAAAAAAAAAAAGATTCTACATGAATATCTGGAGCAGCTTATTAAAAAGCCTGAAAAACACTCACAGTGTAGATTATGCATAATAGAGAATATCTGTTGATTGGCCTATTACTAAACCCGACATCACAAGTCGACATTAAATTATGCATACATTTTTTAAAAAAAGAATAATCTACACTCTACAGCAGTGTAATACTGCAACTGACGTATACAATACATAACATAGTACATTAAACATGAAAGGCTGCATGTGGAGTGATCTATTACCACACCAGACATAAAACAGGGTAGATTAAATATGAAAAATGGAAAAAAAAATTTATATGTGGAGTGATTAGTTTCCACTTTAAATGTAACACTCAATCAAGAGATACATGTACCCGGTAATATAAAGCTGACAAAGAAAAGTAGTCTATTGACTATGTTAGTTTATTTTCAACAAGCGATTCTTGTCCTGCTCTTTTCTGGAAGGGATGGAAAGTCATTCTGCCGTCGATCTGCAGTAGTTGAATCATCATCAGCATGAATGGTCTGGACTTCACATTCATATACCTTGTACTCTGTACTGATGAATCTATCTGTAATTTATAAAATTTAACAAATACAATATTATCTGCAGTCAACGTCAAAATATATTTCCCACGATGTCTATATCTTATATATAGAATTTCGATGAAAAAACATGTATATGTAACAGGAAAAGAGAAAATGTATGGATGGACCGGGAATCAAACCTGAGACCCCTGCATCACTAGTCATGTGCTATACAGACTGAGCTACCCTGGACGATATATATCCATGGCCCAAGCCATTACATATTACATACATGTATATATAACTTGCAAAAGTTTACACCTCATACATGTAAATTGCCAATTTTCTACACTTATTAAATTTGGCATAAAAAAATTTAAATGATGACTTAACCATTATCACTATTTTGCTGACATCAAGATCCCCTGGTCTGCTATGGGTTGGTGGTCCTATACCAGAAAGTACCATCTTGATGGCTGAAAAAAAAATAGATCAAATAAATATACATGTATACCAGCAAAACCAAAATTTAATTATATTAGTTGATTGGCAAATCACTTTTTAACCAGTAAATCTAACATTAAATTAAATGCTCCACTGCCTGGCCAATATTCTAACTATACAGCAGCAGTAATATAAAGATTTGTCAATTTCATCAGACCAGCTAACAACATGTAAACAGTTTCAATGTTTACCACACTGACACAGTTTTTACCAGTGAAGAAAAACAAAAATAATCTGTCCAGCTAGGGTTCGACACTAAGGGTAGTCCGCTGGCCCGCGACAACTGAATATTGAGTTTGGACTACTAAACATGCCTTTAAACTTGCCCTGCAGGGCTACTGTAAATTTTACCAAACTGAAACACTCACTCAGAGCAACAAAAATAATTATAATTTACACAAAATTTACCTGATTATTGATAAATTAATTTAATTTTCAAACATGTTTTATCCTCAAAATTATTTTTGTAAGTCAAAATGTAAATACTTTAAAGGTGAATCGAAATACCCTAAATGATTATAAATGTGGAATTTTTTGAATAGAAAAATATCTTAGGTACAATCTGACAAAAATTAGGCCCCCAGTGATCTTGGAAATAAAAATAAATTATCTGTCCTTCACTGTAAATACATAATCTGACACCCATAAAATTTGCCCCCCCCCTCCCACCCCTATCAAATGAATGACAGTCCCTATATTACATTCTCTGAATTTACTAATGTTAAGTTTAATGCTGAATTAAAATAGGCCTATTATTATGAAAGTATGTCATGTAAATATCTATAGATATGACTTACCAAGAGCTATACTTTTAAGTTGATATCAACAGTGATCATAATCCTCTCCATCGTATTCCTTTCGGGGCCGGGATTTCCCGTGGAAAGTGTCGGTAAATCCATAAATAGTACAGTACTATCAGTCCCATTTACATGTAGGCCTAACCAGCTGCGTCGTCTGCTTTGGAATATAGGGGGTGCTAGTCAGTCGTTTGCGATACACAGACATTTTAGTTCATAAAAAGGTTTTATTGTTTTCTGTTTCTTAAGATGTTATATTCTCTCATTCGCTCTAATTTACTTGATCTACCTTTACAGCTGAGAGTTCCTATAACGTTTCCCGTGTACTTTTCTCGGAGCACGTTGTTTACAACTTGCAGTCCGCCATATTGAACTATGCGCATTTCCGGAATAAGCCAACCGAAAAATTCTTAATTTAGAATTCACATGCAATGTCACGTGATCGCTATCCGTAGCTACGTTAAAACTCCAAATTTTACTTCATCAACATTTTGGTCTTCATCAGAAGATCGAAAGAACATTGCGTTTGATATCATGATAAGACAAAGTAATGCCATTAGGCACGACAGCCTTTGAACTCGTGTGAATTTTCCTTGTGGAGGAAAGAGCAAAGAAATCCATAAATGATATACAGACATTAGCCTTTGAGCTTCCACAGATATACCATCGTTAAAAGAAATTGTGTCTAGAGTTGATGCTGGTATAATGCGATCCAATAAACAATCTTCATCATCAATACCTAGCCACTTGTTGCAATGGAACGTATATCTGAAATCAAAATAGAATGCAGAGAATATTTCTTGTAAACATTTATTGAATACGTTCCTACATTAAAGATAAGTTGATTTTGCCGCTTCTGTTTCAAACCACATTTTACTTTGCTAATCAAGGACATGATCTACTTTTCTTGTATTCATTGCCATTGTCAGTCTACAATAGTTCTTTTGGTTAACCAAACCCAATATACTCTCACGGTATTTTTGAAATTTACTTTGCATGGTCTTAAACTTTTTCACTATGCACTTCCTAAATAGCAAAGACTTAGCTCAGACATGTCAAAGCTGTATACAAGCATAATACGTAAACTATTTTGATGCCAAAGAACTCTATGCGGTATATTGCGTATTTTTGCCACCAGAAAAGTCACATTTTGTAAATTTCTTGAAATGTGCTAAATTGTATATATTGTATGAAAAATCTAAATTAAAAAAAATAATATCATATTTCAAAGCAGATTATTGACAATTTTTGTTTGTATGACTATTCGGATTTAATTTTGAGAAAGAAGAAAAAATATATATAATTTGCTCAAATTTTATATAACATTTATAGAGCGCAAAATGGTACAAATGTATGTTCATGACCAACATTTACATATTTCATTGATATAATCATTTTACACATTATTTCAAATTATTGAGTCTGAGCAGACCTGCTTTCGGTGACTTAGGCTCAAAATATTTACGTAATATACACATTTTCTGTTAGAAATCATGGAAATGTGAAACTTACGTCATTTTCTCATTTCATATTAAACATATGACGTTATGGCTTACGGAAATATTCAGTGATTTGAAGTCTGCAAATATTCCCATGTTATAAAACATAATTGTTTATTTCTACGTAAAAGTTTGATTTTGGGAGCAAATATTGGCCATTGCCGCATAAAGTCCTTTAAAGGATCTAGGTCAAAGTCATTAGTACATTTGTATTTACATAAGCCAAAGTTTCAAGCAATACATATGATAATAACGAATTTCTCTTACAGTTATCAAGTTATAGGGTACAACAAAGGTATGGACGCCTGGTCGGACATACAGAAAAGGGTTAAATGATTCCAAGGCTTACTCTACTCTTTAGGCGACACGAAAATATATGATCATGTGTTACCTTTCATGTTTTTCCAAGTCATCGACTGTAATTTTGCTTATAAACCAACTTTTAAAGCCATGTGACCCAGAGTTGTCATGCCATATCTGTATGTATCTTAAATCTCCTAGGGGTTTATTGGTTCCAAAGAAGTACATGTTAACACTTCATGTTGAAAATCCCTATTAAAAGTAAGCATAAGTTGCAAACATTTAAATAAGGTACATGCAACACATTTTGCATGGTGTAAATATTGCAAATAAGTTGTACTTAGTAATTTTGATAGATAGGTTATATGCAATTAAAAACTAATCGTATTATCGGCACTCCTTAAAATAAGATTTTCAAAATTCATCTGGCTAAACACCTTCACAACAAACACAAAACGCCGGAAAACTTCGAAAATTTTAAGATCACAAGTGTAAAGAGTACAAAAAAAAAACAATGGATAGATGTATTAAAGAACATAAATTATCTATAACTTCAAAATTAGATAATCTATAGGAAAGTAATATTAAAGAATATTGGAGAATTTTAAATAGCTCGAAGGCTAGTAAAACTGAAGTCGATACATGTATCAAATCAAAATTCCATTTTTTGAAAAAAAATGAATGAATTTAAAGATAAAGTTGTTGTTGATGATTATGATGTCAATCTTGCTAATAACTCCCCTTTAAATTGTCAGATCTCTGCAGAAGAAATCTTGCAAGTAGTTAACAAACTAAAAAAAAAATAATAAAGCTCCAGGATAAAATGATCAAATCTGTAACGAATTTATAAGAACAACAATATCAAGTTTTTTGCCACTTTATGTTGATATTTTCAATGCGATTTGATACTGGTTATGTACCGGCTGAGGAATGTCTCATTGGTATCGTCAAGCCAATATATAAAAACAAGGGTGACCCACCTCTCCTGAAAACCATAGACCAATAACATTTCAAAGTTGTTAAGGAAAATTTTTTACCAGCATTTTATGAATACTTTTGCTGATGAATTAGAACTGATTACTGAAGCTCAAACTGGCTTTAGAAAAGGATATGGTACAATAGATAATATATTGATATTAGATTTTTTGTGTAAGTTTGTCTTGTTCAGTAAGAAAAAAACTTTATTGTGCATTTATTGATTTTAAGCAAGCCTTTGATACGTTATGGCGATCTGGTTTGTGGTCCAAAGTGTTAAAAAGTGGGATAGATGGTAAATACAAAAATAGAATAATATTGAAGGGATTAAGAGCTGAAGTGAAAAATAAGAAAATGAAATGCAGATTATGTTTAAATTATTTATACTTTTCTATGCTGACGACACAGTTTTACTATCTGATAACCCAGATGATTTACAAAGAGCGTTGAATATTTTCTCTGATTATTGTGACCACTGGAAACTTAAAGTAACAGACAAGACTAAGATAGTAATTTTTTTCTAGAGGAAGGATCCCCAAAAAATATTTTTGTACAGAGTTCTAAGCACCAATTGAAATTGTGAACGAATTGAAATACTAAGGTGTTATCATGTCCCGTAGTGTTTTTTTTTTCAAAAGTGCGAAAACACACTTAACTAAACAAGCTTCAAAATCAATGTATGGAGTACTTAGAAAGATAAGGTATTTTAATGTGTCAGTCGATTGTCAAATAGATCTTATTGAAAGAGTTATAAGCCGTGTTTTACGGGTGTGAAGTTTTTGGCTATGAAAACACAGATATCTTAGAAAAGGTACACTTAAAAGATTTGAAATTTGTGTTGCATGTTTAGTCCAGTACCCCAAATTGTATGGTGTAGGAGGAAACTGGGCGATATCCTTAAATAATATGTATAAAGGTACGAATGATTACTTACTGGGCTAAACTTTTGATGTCACATGAGAGTAAGTTGACATAGACAATGTATTGCTTTCTTTATAAACACTTTTCTAAAGAGTCATTTATGCACCCATGGTTGAATGTGTAAGAGATATCTTGAATTTCTGTAGTCTGCCTTATGTGTGGATGAATCAAAATTTCGTAAGTATTACATGGTTAAAATCTATTGTGAAAGAAACGTTAAATCAATTTTTATAAGACTGGTATATGAGCATAGCTAATTCATCTAAATGTTTAAATTACAGGATTTCTAAAAACAATTGTGTACGATAATTGTGCTTAAGTAAACTCCCAAAAGACTTTAGAATTGTATTAACAAAATTTAGAACTTGTAATCACAAACTCTCAGTCGAGCTGGTAGATGGCCTATACTGATAGATCTTTAAGATTATGTAATTTATGTAACAAAATTATTTTGGGTGATGAATTTCATCATTTATGGAATGTCCACATTTTTCGTCTTTACGCGTGTGAAAACTTATTGATAAGAAGTATTGTTCTCATGTAAATATTTACAAGTTTGAGAAAATTATGTCTATCACAAGTGTTGACTCGCTGTTAAAACTGTCTTTGCTTGCTGAAAAGAGTTTGGCCTGCTTTCAGTAACTATTTTCTTATTTGACACTACTCTTCCTTAGTTGACTTTTGTATATATGTTCCTGTACTTCATATACCATTGCATGGTCTGAGAATAAATAAACAAACAAATGCATGGCTTTGAAAAATATCATACTTATAAAACACTAATTCAACAATTCATTTAATGATCCGGATTCGGTTGCACGAACGATAGTTAAATTTAACTAGCCGTTAACTTTTCGTTAACGCGACATTAAAATTAACAGCGAGTAAAATTAGTTGCACGAAAGCTCACTACCAGTTAAACCTTAGTTAATTTTGTGATTTAACTAACAGATTTAACTTAGGTTACATAGGTGCATTATATATTTAAGAGCAATTCTTTGTAATCAACAAAATATTTTGGCACTCATAGTTACAGATTTAAATTTTTATATCATAATTTGATACAGGTGTGTGAGTGATTGTAAAATCTAAGAATAATTTTTGAATTGTAACCTTGGTTGCTATAGAAACGGGATACAAACTTTCTCATTTTTGTAAATCATGAAAATTTGTACTTTTCATGAAAAACCATGTCTAGAAATAAACAGAGATATTTAAATTTGTTTTTATTGTTGTTATCCAATACTAGAGATTCAAACAGCAATTTTTACAGTTCAATTTTAATTTTATGCTCATAAGTGGTCATGTTATGCATTGCAAAATGTCAAAAATATAGTAAATTTTGCTCAGTTTTACAGACTTAAAACAAAAAAATGCAGCCATCTACAAATTAAGCAATAATTAAACATGAAAGGTTGATATTTGATTATATTTAAACAATTAAAAAATTGGTGGGCAGATGATATGTGTAAAAGAAATTCAAAGGTGAATATCCATTTTTTCTGCATTTTGAAGCATTTTTTGCTTCCAAATTACTTCCCTTGGATTACTCTCTGTCGTTTGGAGGTACAATATGTAGGTACATGTAGTGGTAGTTAGAATGATCTAACTGTGTCTCGGTACAAGCCCTCACCACAGTTAGAATACGTCCCATATACTTGCAATGTAGCAAATCGGAGCGGATCCGCTCCGAAACGATTTTGAAGAATATAAAAGGATTTGCACTTAGTCCATGAGCCAGGCCATGAATTTTTCGGTATCGGTACCATCTCGGGTGAATAATTTTCATAGTTAATTTTTGAAAGCCATACATCTCTACCTTCAGAAAATATATGATAGCATTCAATTGATTGTGGCTTTAATGGTGTATCAACTGTTTATATACACCAACCCAACTTGTTCGTTCTCTAAGCTGTGTGTTTAAAAGAAGAAGGTTGGTTTTTCAATACGTAATTTCTATTTTATTTCGGATGATATATTCTTGAAAATTCTTTTGAATGCAGACCATGTTATTACCCTGTTCAGTTATTATTCAATATTGGCTCTGTAATGAGCCGTCTAAATTATATAGGAATATAATTTTACCCTTGATCATAAAAGTGGAATACGTAATTTTGAAATTTTGATCAAAGGAAAGAAATAACTACTGTGACACTTTTCACACCAAAAAAATATTGCATGGTCATTTTATTTAAAGAATTTTTATTAGCATTTCAAAACATTATTTCAGTAACAAATATATATAACTTGATTTAAAAGTAAATCTTTATCCCTATCCTAAAATTGAAAATTGAAGGAAAATTCCCCTGATTTACCCTGTGCGTATATTCTTTATTTACTTAACAAAGATATTGTGGATATGTCAGACCTTTACGTAAAATGTTTTATTTATTTAATCTCATGCTAAAACATGGTGATAATGGACACTTGTATGTTCATCTAAGTTAAACGTAATATATTAAATATTTTTGACATCAAAATTAATAAACATAACTGCACAGTCATATATGTGCTTTGTGGGAAGTGGGCTGTGTCTCACTACCTGCAATGGCCTGAAGCCCCTTCCCTCCACTCCGGGTAGAGGGAACCCGTACACTCTTAAGGGAGATCCCTCTAGGAGAGCACTCTCTACACAAAGCGCTGACGGGTCTCAAACCCTGTTAATTGAGGGCTTGTCTACCTATAACGCATGTAAAGACTGTGTACAGGCGAACTCTGCGGAGGAAAACGTCATGGTTCAACGAAGAAGAAGGCAGACATAGCACGCATCTTGGAATGCTTAGAGCAAGCCAAGGCACATATAGCACGTCTTGGTCATCCGCTATATCTGTCTCCATTTCCAGACGTCCTGACATCTGTCTTGCCACTGGATATAAATGGTTGCGGGCGAGAGAGTGAGGTCGGCGAAGCGCAACCCTTCTTCATTTTAATCAAACTCATCGCGCAAGTATCCACCCCAAAGCCCTGTGGTGACAAGCGAGCAAGAAATGTGACAGGTGCGGGTTCACTGGAAGTCGGTAGACGCAGACCTGCACACAGGCGGCACAGGCCATACGGCCGCTCTTCTCCGACCAGAGCAGCGTTGGAGTTCGGCAGCCACCTGTGCGACTGAGCAGCCCTCTTTAGGAACGCACTGCTCACCTCCATGGCAAGAGGAGCGGATTAAACAAGGTATTACAAATGTTGCCTGCTCCACCCTTCCATAGACAGTTTACCGTGGCTGGTGGGGACCCTACACATGCGGTCGAAATAACAAAGAGAACAAGTAGAAAACAAGGATCAGGACTACGTCATTGTCAGGAAGAGAGACAGACAGACAGTTCGTTTATTCATCATTTGTGGCACGGAGTATTGGACAAATCATCGTCTCACAGTCTCTAAACTTCAC